TGAACCCACGTATAGTCCAATGGATATATCGAGCTGTTGCCCAACCAATACTGCTCTACGGAGTCACAGTATGGTGGCCGGCTCTGTCAAAAAAGACAATCACCGCTCAACTGGCAAAGGTCCAACGAACGGCCACTCTTTGCATCAGTGGCGCTCTCCGCACCACACCAAATGATGCACTAAATGCCATTCTATGCCTGCAGGGCATAGACCTTGCAGGAAAGACACAGCCAGCAAGGGCAACAATATGGACGTCACGACCATATGGTCACTCAGCGATCTTTAGGGACACTAATATAATACCTCATAGGACTGATTATTGCGTTTCCAGAGAGTACACAGCCACCCCCTTCGAGGCTATAATCCCCCCCAGAGAGGAATGACTCGAGGGCATACCTGGCCCAACGGGGGTCATCAACATCTTTACTGATGGATCCAAGCTAGACAACAAAGTTGGCGGAGGAATCTACTCCAGGCAACTAAATATGAGGCATTCCTTTCGCCTTCCAGACCACTGCAGTGTCTTCCAAGCGGAAGTCATTGAGTCAATGAAGTCAATGAAGAGGCTAAGATGCCTTCAAGAGATCTCAGTCGCGGCTACTCACCTAAACATCTATAGTGACAGCCAGGCGGCACTTAAATCAGTAAACGCGTTTTCGTCGAATTCGACCACAGTGGAAAATTGTCGCAAATCTCTACACGAGATATAATAATAATCTAATATAATAGCCCTAATATGGGTCCCGGGACACCAGGACATCGAAGGCAACTGCATAGCAGACGAGTTGGCCAGATCTGGCACTACACTCCCGCTTAATACTTGCCACTTGCAAGCTCAAAATAAAGGAGTACTATACAGATATAGGTGCAGCATATAGGTCTTTCGCTCTCTTACAGGGCACTGGCTAATAGGCAACTATGCGAATAGGCTGGGTGCACCCTATACCGACTTCTGTAGTAGGTGTAGAGACGAGGACGAGGAGGAGACAGTAGAACATCTGTTCTGCTCCTGCCCAGCTCTCAGTAGAAGGAAGTTAAAATATCTGGGCACACATTTTCTTAACGACAATTCAGAAATGGCTACTATAAGCCCCAGGAAGATAGCAAACTTTGTGAGAGCATCTGGATGGGAGCACTGCTGACACCCTGACAAACGGGAGGAGAAGAGGAAAAGATCCAAGCGGAATCACAACGGGCCGAAACCGGCCTAGGTGTGTCGGGGTTGTGAAGTCCCGACGACCGTCTCAACCTAAACTAACCTAGCCGTTTTCATCGAGTCCCCGTTCTGCTGGCTGGTGATATCCAGTATGGGGTTAACACAATTAAAATCTTCTTTAAAATTTGTCAAATTGGTCTCCAAAAGGCTAAAACTTTTAATTAAGCCGATAGTTTTTGTTTAAATTATTGTTTTGTTTCATTGCCAAATAACTAAAGAAGCCATTAATAAAATAATTCGAAAAATTGACTAATTTTTACAGATTTTACAGGCGATTAAACTTTAAAGTGGTAGCCAAGTATCCAAAAATGCTCGCCACTGTAAATTAAAGAATATGGATAAAAATATAATAACAAATTAAGAGCATTCTAATATATGCCTTAGTACGTAATAAATAATCTACAGAGGGGTGGTTCGAGCGTCACCCCAAAAGTTAAACATTATTTATACATATGTATGTACATTCGTATGTATATAAATAATACGATTGTGTGTATACATAAATGTGTAAATGTATATAAGCATTTTATTAATCTTCGACGTGCGTTGTATTTCCGACGAACTGTCGCGCTGTTGCCTAGGCGCTATAGATAGACACAGATATCGAATCACACTAACACTCACGCACCCAGACACAGTGATCACATCGAACCAATTCACTACGAACCGAATTACGAACGGAGCAACATAGAAAGACGTCCGCCGACCGACTGCCCCTAGTCGATGGCGATCTAAAAAGAGAAGGTCTAAACACACTCTCATCAATTATTATTCATCTACGCACAGCGAACGAACACACACAGAACTGACCAGAAGTGACCACGTTGCAATGCCGAAAGTTTTTTTTTTTGCCTCGGACAAACTTTTGATTAGAGCCAATGTAATCAAAAAAAAAAACGACAAAACATAGAACACATGTATATAGAAAGAGATTTTATTTAATTGTCATTTCTGTTCAGTCTGTTCACACGTATTCCCTAATATTCGTGTTTCTATTCATCAAATTAAGTTGCGTAAGACCCTACATTTTCGGACGTTGTCCTGATCGAACTATTTTTTATTTATTTCGTTTATTGCAATGAATTTAAATCATATTGTGTTTCGATTAATTTGGGTTTTAATTTGATTGAAATATGTTTTCAAGGTTTCGAGTCTTTTTCCGTGCAAACCGGGTCCCTTAGAAATACGGAGAAGTTAATGTTCGGTCAGAGCTCACGGCTCACGCTTGGGTTTGTTTACATTTGGTCTACTAGTACTTCTGGGGCGGAGTTGAACGACATGAACTTGATTCTGGAAAACAAATGCAGAATATTAAGATGCATATTTTTGGGACAACTTGACGGAGCTTGACCAAAAATAATGGGGCATATTCGGGTTTACCTCGCTAAGTATCAAACGGCGACCAAAGCTAGCGAAATTTCACAAGTTTGTTAGGCACCCTGTCTTTAATAATAATCCATTAGAAATAATTAAGAAATATGTCAAACCAACCAACAGTCATCTTAAAAAGGCTATTTTTTAACCGATGCAAGAAAAGTTTAGGGTTATATTAGATTTGTAGTCGAAGGGTATATGTGTTACGCACAGAAGGGAAGTTTACTCACAATATAAAGTATTTACACTACTGTTCACTTGAATAGGAGAACTTTTTTGTTGTACTTTTTCATTCTGAAAGATATTCTGTACTGGTACAGCCTGGAATTTTGTTGTATACCCGATACTCTAAGAGTATATTGTATTTATGGGGAAAAAATGTAACACACAGAAGGAAGCGTTTCGGAGTGCAGTGGCTATCCCCACCCAGCACTTTTTCTTATTTTTTGCAAATTCTTCCATTCCACACTCTCCTCCCAGTAGGGTGCCTTTCTACAGGAGGCGGGCAAGCTAAAAGAGCGTGTTGGCGTAAGAAGTGATGTAGATGTAGAAGACATATGTAGAAAGAGAGAATATGCAAAAAATAAGCAAAGCTGATGGACGGGTGGGGATAGCCACTGCAAATTAATTTCTTCATTCTGGCTATAATGATCATATCTGATTGCAATGATCCATATCTGATAGATATGGGCATTCCCTACAGAATGGCGTTTTTAGTTTTCTCTTCGCCCTTTTGCGGGGGCGGGGTTCATTTTTTAAATACACTTGTAACAGGGTGAGCATACAGAAGTCTGGATGCAAAAAATGGTAGCTTTTATAGTTTCTCAGATCCATGCGCTCAACAAGACGGACGTGCAGACAGACATGGCTCTATCGACTCGGCTATTGATGCTGATCAAGATGTGCGTTACATACAACCGTTATTCGCACAAATACAATAAACCCTATTTACTCTTCGAGTACCGGGTAAAAAAATTAACAGGTTCGCGGATATTGAATCATTTATCTCATCTTTTTGTACCTGGTACTGGAAGGGTATACATTGTGTATTGCATTTTTGGTCGAAAGTAGATGTATGTAACACACAGAAGGAAACGTTTCCGAACGTTTTTGGACGCGTTTGTACACGTCTCAGCTTTAATACCATGTACTTAGCTAGTATACCTATGTATATATGTACATACAACATGTATGTACATCTGCGGCGTTTAAAATAGCACCAAGAAAATCATTTTTTTCTCTCGATATTTTGTTAAAACAATGCTTCTAATGAACGTTTTTAAAACTATTATATAAACTTTGAGGGTTAATTCGACTTATCCGAGAGAAATGGTATGCTTTGATGGCTTCAGTTGGAAATATTTGGAAAGAAAAGGAATTATTCCGGTATTTTGGCTGCAAACAAAAATAGCACAATTTCATAAAAGCTTAAAAAACTTCAAATGTATAAGAAATTTCCTCAATTTTTAATTACTATAGTTTACTTTAATTGTATTCAAAGGTTAATAATTTGTTTTAAAGCTGTTGGCAGCAAAAAAAAGTCTGAGAGTGTTGTCATAACATGTAACCTTACTTTTCGCGTCTCTCCTGGGGGATTCATCTCCACAAATCTGGCAGGACCCCCAAATGTCAAACTTTTTCTTTGATTTCGTATAAGAAACATATTCTTAAAACTGTTCCCAAAGATTTTCCACATGGTTCATATCTGAGGACTGAGCAAGAGAAAACATTGCATATGAGTCACTGTTTTAAAACCCCTTAGAGCTCTCTATCTGGTCTGTTTTGGGTCATTTCCCTGATGAAAAGACAACTCAACGGCATTTTCTAATGCATATAAGGCAGCATTATTGTTTTATTATATAATAACCAAGCCATGTTGATTCATCATCGATTCCAGCTCGGGTACTTCACCACCTTAATAATACGAAAGTCATGCACATACCATGATTCTTGTCTCAGAATGATTATTAGATATAAATATGTGTCTAAGGGTTATGTTTTTCAGTTGGTAGACGTTTTAAATAAGATCTAAAGTTTCTGCATAAAAAAAAATTTGGTTTCCTCCGGATCAAAATATCTGTATCCATATTTATTTGGGCCAACTCCAGTGCTTTTTCTACATGGTATTTCATTCCTCATGGGTTCTCTACTAAACAGGTTTTTTTCTCAGACTGCGAAAACTTAATTTATATTCTTTAAAGCTAGATCTACCTTTGCTTATTTTCGGACATTTTTTAAGACCTTTTTTAACCTGGCCGACCACCTGGCTTAAAAGGACCCCTCTTGCGCTCAGAAACCAGCATTTTCAACCGAAAAGTGGATATTGCTATTCCCTATTCGAGAATTTTAATAACAAATGTTCCACGACATGTACATAGGAAGTTTTTACTATTTTGACTAGTATAATAATATAGTTTACTTACAAGTGGTAAAGACAGGGGACTCAGATACGTTTTTAGGAGAGACTATGGGGATTCTAGAAGAAGTTGAGTTAAGTGGAAAAACATTTGTTAGGTGAAACTTGTTAATTTCATATACGTACTTTTTGCTTCTTCCCTTCTGAGGCGTTGGCAATATTTCAACAGATGGTGCATCAGACATGGCGGATACGATTGGAGTCTGCCCGATATCTTGGCGTTGTATGGGCAATTGCTCTAGAAAGTAAAAGAGATCAACAATTAAACGCTCAATTAAAAAACGCCCAACGCATTCTCACCTATAGGATAAGGAACGTTGGTCCGAGAGTCTGGAGTGCCTGCCTGCAGTGTTACGTTATTGGAAATATGTATACCAACAGAGTCCTGCGTTGGAATACAAATAGGAGTTTCGGACAGAACGACAGGAGCCGTCACCGTTGCTGAAGATCCTTGCTCCGAGAAGTCATTGTCCGCAGTCGAGTTGCTCTGTTATGGGGAATATCGTAATCGTAATATTAATAATTTAATATATATAATATTATGAAAATATCGTACAAGATTGAAGCCAATCAATAATCAATGGTAGTTTTACTTGCCTTATCGAAATCGTCCAATATATTTTTCTTAGTGGTCGGATCGATGATTTCCAAACGATGCTGACGTCGACGTCTATTCGCTGGCTGCGACTGAACTGACGGAGGTTGCACGCTGGTTGGCATCCCACCGACTCCCACCATTGGAGCCACGCCAACCTGGCCCACACCACTGCCAGGTCCAGCCACACCAATGACAGTATTCGCCCCTTGTTGAACAGTGCTTGTAAGCAACTGCAGCTGTGTCGAGCTGGCTCCGGGACCAGCCAGCGGACCATTGGGCCCGGACTGTACCGGTGGCATGGTGTTGCCCACATTCGTATTGACTGTTACGGCGCTACGGGTATGTGGCGGCGGCTGTTGCTGGAGGGCCGACATATACTGGTACTGGTAGTAGGGTATTGGAGCGGGCGGATATTGCAGGTGAGAACCTGGAAATGTTTGTTGTCGCGGGTTGTATTGAGTGTACGGCTGCAGCACCATATTCTGGTGTATTGCCTGTTGATACATAGGTTGTACATGGACGTGACGGGTGCCGCCGGCGCCACCGCCACGTGGAGCATTAGACGCCGGGGGTGGTCCTCGAAATATGCCACCGCTTTGTTGATTTGAACGGGAGTTCCCTGAACTGTTGTTTCCCGTTGACACGTACTGAAAATGTATAAAATTAGTCAATCCAAATATCATGGTTTGTGCTGGGTTCTGGACATGAAGTCAAAACTATAAAATATAAATATTTGTACTATATTCCGCCCTTCTTATACTACAATATTTGGTGTTTCATTTTTCGTTGTATTCATTAATTATATTTGTATATATAAATATTCGAATATTAGTTTTAAACTTGAAAATAAATCACTTTCGAACTGTTAAATATACAATCATTAGGGCCATGATAAAGATGATACTATATAGAGTGGGTAGCACTGGTGAGTACATGTTCACAATGACTGACTTTCGTCGACCTTAACTTCTAAACGCATAATTCAAACTTAACCAATTTTTTGTAGATATCAATCACTTTATCCTTAACAAGTAGGCAATCCCGAAAAAATACAAATGTAACGCTTTTAAATAGCGAAAAATAAAAAACAAAAAAAAACACTCTCATGTACTCAATTTTACACTTTGCAATATGCTTACAGATTTGACGTTAAATATATATTTTTTTTTATATTCTAGTAATACTAATATCAAATTAAGACATTTCTCATAATAACCCAAGTAGATTTAATGAATTTTTGTTAAATAGTGCTTATGTTGTGCCTGAGACTGAAGAAACGATGTCTAATACTGCTGAAAAACTTGTCATTAGTCAATCGGTGGTGATCTGAGATGAAGTAATCGGATCTGATCTGAAAAGATGAGTAATTTTGTCCCGAAACAGCAAGTCTAAGGTCGCCCTAAGGCGCTAACAGACTCAGTCGCAATGCTTATAACGTCGCAAATTAGTAACAAGGACTTTTTAAGACAAAAGGATGCTTATTTCGAAAAACTGTATATATTTTTTTGGAGAGGGTCAGCGTCCGACCAGCCATGGTCGGAAAAAAATGGTAAAGCAAACCCGAAACTTTCAAATTAGACCACGGATGATTGAAAACGTGTTATTAGGTCTGATGAGTCCACATGTAACCATAATTAATCAGATGGGAAGCAGTATCGTTGACTTAAGCGCGCAAAGGGCTTCAAAGATATCATATCAAGAAAACGGTGCCGGTAGATGTAAAATAATGTGGGAAATATGTGTGTGTAGAAATATAAAATAAATGCAAATAAAATAAATAAATACAATTTTCAAGAGTGAAAAATATAGCACATGCGAGCTTTTTTAGATTTTTATGTTTTGTTATTTAAAAACTTCATATTTGTATTTTTTTGGGATTGTCTATTGTTAAGGACAAAGTGGTTGATATCTACAAAAAAATCGGTTAAGTTTGCATTATGTGTTTAGAAGTTATGGGCATCGAAAGTCAGTCATGGTGAACATGTACTCAACAGTGCTCATCACTGTACATACATATATATTATTTTGTTTCTTTGTTTTTTAGAGATAATAATTAAATTATATATGTATATATATGTATATTGACGAGTCCGAAAGTGATTTATTTTTAAGTTTAAAACTAATATTTCTTTTACGGACCATTGAGCAACTCCCTTTAATTAGAACCCTGCATTAAAAGGGTATCGAATCAAATTAGGGTTCGGTATTCGGTTTTTTCGGTTAATTATAATCCGAGTCTTGTTAAATACATATGTATGTATATGATATCGAATCACTCGCTAAAAACAGACCGAACGAAACAGATATCGGCACTTTTACAGTGTCAGATCAGAATATTTCAGTTTTTTTTTGACGCTCACTCTGCTTTGTATTTTCTGGTAGCAAGAAAGCAACTTAAAAATTTGCTGATTGATTAATAAGATAGTGTTTTGCAATAAATAACACAAAATATTCACTGGAACATTTGTTTTAAGTTGTGCAAGTTGTGTGTGAGTAATTTCTGGGTAATTGACTGAAGAAATTATTCAAAATGATTGAAATCATTAAAGAGGATACCATAGCTTTGAATTTAGGTAAGTGTTGGTGCCGAGGCACCAACCTTTTCAAATATACATATATAACTATTGGGAATATTACTTTGATAACTCATTTTATTTATTTCTTCCAGAATACTCTTTAGTTACAATTTCTTAATTGAAAACTACAAGTTTCTAGGAAAAAGAGAAAAAAAGCTATCAGCGTAAACTTCGCAATAGTTTTCAGAGCTTCATCTGCATCATCTATTACTAGACACTCTTAAAAATAATCGTATGGTTGTATGTAAAAAACGGATCACTAGAATCAAATCTAAAGTATTTGTTGGTTGCCAAATGAACAGTTTTCCGGAAATTAATCGATACGCCGAAGAAGTCTTTGGCATTTTATCACTAATACAAAGTTCATTTCAATTATTTTCTTGGTGTGGAAGACACAAGGCGATCGAATGCCATGTGTGCTTTTCCGATGGATTACCTCTGCCGCTGTTTGATAGCTATTATTTTTGAAATCGAACTTCCTATTAGTATCAATACAACTGACGCCTACGCCGACACCAACAAGATTATTTTCGTGCATGTATGTCCCAGCGGTGGCTGCACCAATAGCGACACCAATGGTGCTTCCAGTACTAGAGCCGTTGCCCACTCCGGCGGGGGAGTTGTTGCTGGCCGCTACCGTAGCACTGCCGACGCAGTTCCCATTTTTATTCATGTCCGGAACGCTCATGAATCGAAGATTCCCATCAAGGCTGCCACCAGGTAACGCCCGGTGGCTTGATATATTGTAAATAGCTGTAGATTTCAATTCCCCCGGATTCAAAGGACAGCTGTTCACAGTCATTATATTAGCGCCGTTGCACAGCACAGTGGACTGCTGAGATCCTGCTGGTCCTGGGCCTGCTCCTGCCATGGGCCTGTTCACAACGTTAGCGTAACTTTGTTGCTGCTGTTGTTGTGGCTGCGTGTGCTGGAGGTGATGAGACTGCTGCTGCTGGTGCGTCAAGAGGGCTGACTGGTGAGTGCTCGGCGTTGAAGTCTTTAGTATTGAAACAACATTGTAAGTCTTGCTTATCGGATACTGTGACTGTGACGCCGTGTGGCTGTGCTGCTGCTGTTGAAGGGACTGCTGAAGAGGCTGTGGCTTTGTGGGCGGCACCTGTGGAGCATACTTTTTGGACTTTTTATTGGCTGGCAATATCTACAACAGATCACAAGAGTTGAGATGTTTTTCTGGACTATGAAATTAAAAGCAAACTGTATACATTTTTTTTAAATAAGGTGAAAAGTAATTAAAGTAACGAAATCCATAAAGGAACATTTAAAAAATATAAAATTAAAAGAATGCCAAGAAAGTCGCCCATTCCGACTATAAGACACCCGCTATTCCGATTGACCATTCTGGACATGTCTGCACCGTTGCATTGTCCCTCTTAACAACTATGCTTCTTGTCCAAATAAAGTCGTTTCTTTTTCAAATTCTCATTAAATCTATCCAATAACAATTCTGAAGTTAGTCAATGTGCATAATACCGCGTGCATTAAAAAACGAGAAGGGACGTGTGAGACGCTGCTTACGCGTCACAACTTTTATACCCGGCACTCAGTACTACATCTGTACCTTAGCGGTTATTTAACAAATTTTACATTTTTCCTCATCTGTCATCTACATCTACAACACTTCTCACCCTAACACGCTCCGTTGGCTAGCCCCCCTTCCCTAGGCCCACACACATTCTGCAGAGGCAGCACATGCATACAAAAAAAAACAAATATAAGCTGCGGGACAGGGTGGGTTAAAAATCGGCAGAGGCAGAGGGACGGCAGAGGCAGAGGCCGCATAATGCAGAACTAGAGTGTGGATGAGAGAATGTGCAAAAAACAAATATAAGCTGCGGGACAGGGTGGGTTTAGACACTGGAAATTAATTTCTTCATTGTGGCTATAATAATGATCCAATCGGATACCAATTTGGTGATCTGATAGATATGGTCATTCTCTACGGAATGGCTTTTTTAGTTTTCTTTTATCTTAAAAATTTTAGGGAGGATTTTGCCCTTCTGAGGGGGCGGGGCTAATTTTTTAAATACACTTGTAATAGTGTGATCATACAGAAGTCTGGATGCAAAATTTGGTGGCTCTAGCTCTTATAGTCTCTGAGTACTAGGCGCTCAACACGACGGACGGACAGACATACATGGCTCTATCGACTCGGCTATTGATGCTGATCAAGAATATATATACTTTATGGGATCGGAAACGCTTCCTTCTGTGCGTTACATACAACCGCTATTCGCACAAATATACCCTATTCACTCTTCAAGTACCAGGTACAAAAATAGAAACCAACATTATTCAAAATTTTTAAATAAAATTATTTTTATATTATAACGGCAGTGCAATTCTGTAACTGACTATCAAATGTCTTTCAATTTTTAAAACACA